TCTTAACATTTCTAAATATGTAGTGAGCAGTGATGTTTAACATGGAGAACAGAATACCTGAGATCTTTGCCCCTGAGACGGAAGGCAGCGAATCACTTCAGGGCAGGAGTTAAACCATCCTGGGCAACAAAATGAAATACCCTGTCTTGTATAGAAAGGTCATAGCAATACCCGCTGTGGTCACTGAGACATTCACCTGTTTCTCCCATTACAGGGTGTTGACACTGAGCCTCCCAGGACAGGAACAGTGCCTCCCTCCTATTCTTCATCAAGACTGGGCCTGCCTGGGTTTCCCAGGGTCAGGGAGTCATCACCAGCCTGAGTATCCAGGGGTGAGGATCTGTGTCCTCAGCTGGGCCTGAGAAGGACTGAGTGGCCTCTGGCTGTTTTGAGTTGGGCTGACAGCCTAAGCCACCGAGGAACAGAGAGCCTCATGGAGTACATTCATGGTGACGAGGTCACTGTGATGGGCACACACTGGGTTCTTGGTTCCACACTCACAGGGTCCAGGGTCCCCGTGACACTGAGTGAAGTGAGAGTCCTGTTGCCTTCACTCAGCCTCAGGTTGGGACTGACTAGCAGGCTCTGGCTGCTTATCTAGCACAGGTAGGTCATGTCCTGAGTCTCTGGTTCCCAGGTTACCGAGTCCCAAGGTGGGATTGTTGCTTGTGACAGAGGGTCTGGGTAACTCAGCTGTGCAGATCACGGAGAGAAGGTTGCCCTCTGTGGTGTCTTTGATTCCTATCTGTCACCTGCAGCCAAGCTGAGTCCTTAAAGACCATGACAGGTGTGTGTGTCACAAGACAGACATATGACAGACTGGGAGTCAGAGAATGAGGTTAGGGTTAGGGTTATGGCTGCTGCTACCCACTCTCAATGCTGTTCCTAATGTCAAGTCCTCTCCTTTATTCCTCCCATCTACATTTGCAAATCCATGTACGTTGCACAGACTTTCTCAAAGGGGTAATTAGGCCCTAGCCTTGGCTTGTGGACAGACACAGGGCTAGGAGTTAGAGATTCTCTGGTGCCTCTTGTGGCCCTTCCCTGAGCTCTGACTGCCTAAGCGTCCTCAGGACACGTGGGTGCTGAGTTCCTTCCAGCTGCACAGTCCTACATGCCCAGCCCTGGAGCTTTTCTCTGAGGCTTCAGTATACAAGGGCATCCTAGAGCTGGGTGATGGTGGGGCCTGGGTGTTTGGGAGAAGGTATGGGGGTCACCAGAGTTCTCAGGTCTCCAGGGGCTGGAGGTGGACAGTTCTGCTCAAGGCACAGTGACTGACTTGGTGAGTAACTCAGTAAATGGTGGGGGAGGTCTCAGGAATGATCTGGAAAGAGCGAGGGGTCAGGGAAGAGCA